GGGAGTGAGTATGGCCAATGCATTTTGCTTCACCAGAAAACATGGTGGTTCACCAGAAAACATGGTTGTTCCACATTTGATGGATTATGAATGGTTAGACATCATGTAAGCATAGTAGTAACAGCATTTTCTTTGAAAAGTGGTGTGAGTGTGTGTGTGCTTGAATCTTATAGGATTTAAATTGGCAATGGATACATTGTATTGACTAGTGATTGATGCCCATATAATCTTTGAGATGAAAAACTTTGCTGATCTTGTAGTCCCTTAGGCTATGTTCCCACAATAAAAAAATGGAACCAGCTGCCACAGTTAGGATGAGCTGCATGTGATAATGTCATTTTATAAACTGAGCAATTATGGTGTTTACTATTATAGACTTTGCATTGCCAATCTGTTTCTTGTTATGTATAATAAGCTACAATTAGATTGATCTTACTTAGAGACACTACAAGGCCTTCTCTTTTTATGGAAATTGCTGTATGCTAGGGCAGGAAAATATAATTTTACATTTACATTTGACATTTTCTATTTTAATGCTGGAAAAATCCAGCTGTTTTCTTGAATAAAAACCAGGTAGTGCTATTATTTTCATGAAGAGGAGTCAAAAGCTCCTGTTTATTTGTATTCCAAGTGAACTATTCCCAGATGTTTTACAATGGCTACCACACTCTCTAGCCCTGTTGCCATGGCTCCTGCTGTCGAAAGGCACTGCGGCTGTGTAATGAAACGATTTCTCCACAGAAGCATCCTCACTTAACATTTTTTTTTTTTTTATGGTTAGGACAGGAATTTTAGTTTGCTGTCAGCCATTAAATAATCGTTACTACGTATTTTTTTCTTACAGCATTTTCATAACTGTAGTATTTTTTTATGTTTAACCCAGACATTGTAAACTTACAATGTAAATTTAGCTCTATTTTTGCTAGTGTTTCTCAGTTCTGAACATTCTTAAATTGAGAAGAACCAACCATAACAACACAAGAGCACACAATAGATACAAACTCAAAGTTAACCGCACCAAACTTGATTGCAGGAAATACGACTTCAGCAATAGAGTGGTCAATGTCTGGAATACTCTACCCGACTCTGTAGTTTCTTCCCTAAACCCCAAAAACTTTAACCTTAGACTGTCTACTATTGACCTCACCCCTTTCCTAAGAGGTCTGTAAGGGGCGTGCATAAGCGCACCAACGTGCCTACCGTCCCTGTCCTATTGTTTCTCTTATTCTTCTTTTATTTTTCTTATATGTACCCATTTCATGTATTCACAACTATGTATACACTTATACTTATTATCTTGTAAACAATTGGCAAATCAAATAAATAAATAAATAAAAATAAAATAAATAAGTATGTTAGGTCCCTACAAGGTTCGAAAATGGTTTGGAGAAATGCTTTGGACTTTGCATGAGTTCTCTATTATTCATTCAAGTAGCCTAGCTTTTCCAGATTTCTGCATGAGTATAAGAAAAATGCCACTACTTTGAGTCAACTCTATGACTGTTAAAGCAGTGACAACTATTTTTCAAGGTCCTTTGGAAGACTATAAAAACCCAGACTGCTTTAATGATAGCTCAGTGATGCCTTCTCATGCAGTGTTCAGAAGGATTTTTAAAATCATTTTGGAAGGGTACATACCCATAATGGACTTCAATCAGTTACTTCAATCTGGATTACTTCAGAAAGTCGCAAAAAGCCTATTTAAGTTTTTCTCTGTCCCTTTTTATTCTAAACAAATCAAGACATGGTTGCTTTGAGTGTCTTTGTCTCAGGGCTAAGTAATCTTTCCTCCAAGTCCCCATGACTTGCTTATTCCTCCAGGTTATTGCTGTTTTTTCTTAGCTGCTATAGTGATTCATCTAAGTATATTGGAGCCGTACTGAACAAATCAGTACCGCATCATGTTTTCTGTCTATGAGGTTGCCTAGTGACAAACACAGTACTTTTATATATTTGTGGTGCCACCTCCAGTGTAAATGATTGATCCAAGTTTTGACTGTCTAACTGGAGCAACTTGAGCAGAGTTAGAACTGTAGGACTGCCATCATGACAGTACAATGCAACCCATATAAATGTAAACAGTGTCTTTGTATTTTTTTTTCTTTCCATATCATAATTTGCTATTGGTACATACGGCTACATGCTGCTAACTGTTCTGCTGACGTGTGGAATAACAGTACAGAATAACAGAATTATAAAGTTGGAAGGGACATTGGAAGCCTTCTAGTCCAACCTCTTGCCCAAGCAGGAAACCCTATACCATTCCAGACAAGTGGCTGTCCAGACTCCCTGGTGATGGAGCACCCACAATGTCTGAAGGCAAGCCCACTGCTTGGAATGGGAAAAGTATGGAATTCCATCTCGACTGGAATAGAGCTTAACCTGAATTCATTTTTTGCTGTTCCTTTGGTGATTCGGCTTAGAGCAGTGCATCAACACGAGGCTCTCTTAGTACACTGTGTTGCTAAGCAGATGGTCTTTAAGGCAATATATTAGCTGGCTTCAGCTCGGAAGCATGTGGTTTGTTTTCAGATACATGAGATGCAATAAGCAAGGAAGATTTTGCAGACAGAGAATGCATTGTAGAGGCACTTACATGATATGAGAATAAGTTTCAAACGGCCCATCTCAAAACTTCTTTTAAACCAGCAATACCGTGTGAAAATAAATTGTAATATTCAGTTTACAATCTCTGAAAGTTTGACACTGGCATAAAAAAAAAGAGACAGAATCTCTCAAAGAACATGCAAATCGAGAGAGACACAGCAGTGATTATAGGATTTCTTTGCACTGAGTACAGGTAGTCCTCAACTCACAACAGTTCATTTTGTGACTGTTCAATATTACAATGGTGCTGAAAAAAAGTGACTTATGACCATTTTTCACACTTAGGACCATTGCAGCATCCCTGTGGTCATGTGATTTACATGACTCATGTGATAGTCATGTGATTTATGGACATGTGATTTACATGACTATTACATGACTATTTACATCCCTATGGTCATGTGATGGTTGCAGTGTCCCTGGGTCACATGATCCCCTTTTGCAACCTTCTGACAAGCAAGATTTATTTATTTATTTATTTATTTATTTATTTATTTATTTGATTTGCCAATTGTTTACAAGATAATAAGTATAAATGTATACATAGTTGTGAATACATGAAATGGGTACATATAAGAAAAATAAAAGAATAAGAGAAACAATAGGACAGGGACGGTAGGCACGTTGGTGCGCTTATGCACGCCCCCTACAGACCTCAAATCAAAGATCAATGGGGAGAGCAGATTCACTTACAACTGTGTAACTAACTTAAGAACTGCAGTGATTCACTTAACAAATATGATGAGAATAGTCATAAAATGGAGCAAACTCACTTAACAAATTTATCACTTAACAATATAAATGGTGGGCTCAATTGTGGTCGTAAATTGAGGACCACTGTATCAGACTAGACACCTTCCTCAAAACCCTCCTTTTGGCCAATTCTTTGAGCTCTTATTCCTCATGCTATTCTTCAGTTAGGTTTCAGTAGGCGTCATTTAGCAGAATGCATATGATTCCTCTTTTGCCCCTACTTTTGTTTTCCTTTCCTTGTCGTCCCCCCCCCTTGTCAAAATAGATAGTAAGCCTCAGAGGAAAGGACAACTGTCCTTAGTAACATTTTTGAGTAACAAGAATCTGTAACTGGGTAACATTGCAAAAAGAGTATTTTTGAACGGTTAGTTTTAAGAATACAGATTAAAAATCAAACTGTGTAGTTGACATTCCCATCATGTCTAGGTTTGTAACTAAATTAAAGTTTGCAGGAGCAGTTTTAAACAAAGTTTTTTTTGCTGTTATCCTACTCATTCACATATTTCAAAAGAAAGTCCAGACAACTGTTTTCTCTTTGTAACTGTCCATCACTTTTTCATCTCTTCTACTAAAAATGTTACATATAAAAGGATGATTTAGCTCTGCAGGGTCCTAGCAGTGCCAGCAGCTGACCTCTCAGAAAAAGTTCAGTTTTTCATTTCTGTGCACTAGGAGAGAAATCTTCTTTGTAGTCTCATTTTCAATCAGCATGCTTGCTTTTGGCACCTACTTGAAAATTGTCAGAAAATTACAAATGCACAATAGAGCTATTTTATAAAATGCAGCACATTTCTGTTTTGTTATTAGGTGAATTATGATGCCATAAAGATTCCAAAATGGCCTCCATTTTCAGAGATGCACCCAGTTGATTATTATTCTACTTACACCAAGAACTGCAGTGGGCAATTTACACAGGAAGAAATCAGAAATATTCGAGCACATTATTATGCCATGTGTGCAGAAACGGATGCCATGCTTGGTAGGTGATACTAAGTTATTACTTTCATAATATATACATTCATGGATACGGTTATTATCCTGATCTTAGTGATGCAATTTTTGTACGTTGTCAGAAATTTTAGAACTGTTACTCGTGGAAAGCTTTTCCCTCCCAAAAAGGTACTTGAAAGTATTTTATATTGCATTTTCCTTTATTCTTTATTTATTTAGGTATCTGCCTATATAGATTCATGAAGAATACAATACATCCATGTTAAAATACTCAGCATTATAACAAGTCCTTTACGTGATGATATCAAAGCTATTATCTGGGAATGTCCATACATAGACCTACCAATTTCAGATCTGCAATTTATTTGGTTATATTAGAGCAGGGGTGTCAAACTCAAGGCCCACAAGATGGATCAGGCCCATGGAGTGCTTAAATCTGGCCCGTGGGTTCGGCCTAGAAATAGCAAAGGACCGGCCTGCTGTGCCTCTGGCAGCCAAAACAGGGCATGGGGGGGGGGGCACGGAGGGCTGCAGGAGACCATCCAGGCCAAAAATGGGGCACGGAGGGTCCTCCTGCAGCAAAGTGCTGCAGGAGGCGTCCATCCAATGTCTCCCCCGCGGCCGGCCCACAAAGAACTACAATGCTGATCCAGCCCTACAAGAAATCCTGTTTGACACCCATGAGCAAAGGAAATTCTTAATATTTTGGAGTGCTTTCAGATGCATCCTCTATAAGGATATTTCTTTGGGTCAAGAAAAACATCTCTGCCATCAGGGCTGGTTCTTGGTATCTACATAGGCTCATACTATTTGCTAAGGACAGTTGGTGATGATTCCCTATCGCTTGGAATGGTGCCCCTTGGCTGCATGAAAGGAATTTGATAAAAGGAGAAACTTCAGGGGAAGATCTTTGTTTGGAGTCCTGTATTTTTATTTCCTCTGTGGCTTCAACTACTTCTAGGATTATGACTTCTTATGTTTAGTATATGGCTTCACTGACTAGGTGACAGGAAAAATCTCTTCAGATGTTTGAAATTATATAATGGCATAGAGTCTGCCTTAAAATGGTTGCTTGCTAAGTTGGAATGTTAATTCATTCAGAAAATATCAGCCTCGTTTTATAAAAAAAATGTGAAAATTAGGCAGGAAAACAAACAAACGTGTGAAATCTAATAAACCAAAAAGAATTTGATCAAGTTTTCAGTAACTTGAGTGACACACAATATCCTGCTTTGGCTATAATCTCCTTGACTGAAACTGCTTATATATTATCAACATTTGCTTTTCCTGTACTATAGATTTTCAATTACTATAGATTCATGGGCCTCCAATTATTCTAACTTGCTTTAAAATCAGCATGGCATTCAGAAACTCAAGGAAAATGTCAGTTTTTGTGCTTGTCATAAATTGTGCATTTGAAATAAATTAGATGTGAATTAAACAGTTATTCAGAAGTTAACCTATATTTATATAGTTTTTAATTAGGACTGTTCTTAGCTTTAGGAATTGATCATATTAAAGTAAGGTTCAGTAATATGGAATATTTAATTGATGTGTTTCATTATGAGCTGCATCTTAAGAACTTCTGTACACTGAAAAACACATTTATTAATAGGATGCAAAGCATAACCCTATGAAGTGTTAGATAGAAAATATAATAATCTGCTCTTACAACTTTGAAACAATCTTATCATTAGAATATATGCTTTTAAGTTTGTGTGATGATGTTCATTTTTACTAATTTTCTACTCATAACATAATAATTATGGGTCAAGACTTTAGAATGATTCTGAAACATCGATCCTTTTGTTTTAATTGTCAGCTCGGATATAAAGCTATGTTTAAAAGAAGCTGAATTTTCTGATGCAGTTTGTAAAGTTTGAGGGGGGTTGAAATATAACCTGGCCCTAAGAGTTAATCTCCCAGGAGTTAAATTTTGAGCAGGCCTTTAATTTCATTATTAGGATTTTGGATTGCCGTAGATATTAAATCTTAAGTTTTACAAAGTAGTATTTCAAGTATGGAGTTTTGGAAATCAGTTACATTTGATATTGTTAAGCTTTGAAAAAAGCTTAGAGCTTTCAGGGAGAAACTTTGTTGATCACTTAACACTAAATGTTCTTGTTAGCAAGGAAGTATTTCTCAGAATGTTTGCAAATATCAGTGCTATTTAATTAACATCTTAACATGTTTTTCCTTGTCTTGTTTTACAGGTGAGATACTTTCTGCTCTAAATGAAACAGGACTGCTTGGAAGAACTCATGTAATATTTACTGCGGATCATGGAGAACTTGCGATGGAACACAGACAGTTTTATAAAATGAGCATGTATGAAGCAAGTTCCCATATTCCCCTCCTTATAATGGGTCCAAATATTAAGTTGCAGTCCATATCAAATATGGTGTCCCTTGTGGATATCTATCCTACCATGCTTGGTAAGCAACATTTATCCTATAGCAATAAAATTAGTATTTATGGGATTGTTTGCCTTTTTTTTTTTTGCTATTATTGTTGCCATTGTTTCATCTGCCTGTCTTTTCTGGGTTAATTTTGTGAGACAATCCTAGTTGATAGGAATTACAAAGTTATCAGGATACTGCCAAGACCTTAAACAATTAAAGTTGACTACGTAATGACAGTGAAGGGAAAGGACGGTAATTGAGAATGAGGCTGAACCAAGAGTCTGAATAACAAATCTATACTTTTCTACATCTTTTGGATTTTAGGGAAAATGATCCTTAATCTACACTCTAGCAACTAATTCCCTTTCAGTGGTTGGTGCTTACATGATATAAACTGGCAAAAACAGTGCACCAGAAAATGCCTTTCTCTATATCCACTTGTACTTTTTAATTTTCAGTCCAATTGCTTTTATTGACACCATTGTTTTAGGATTAATCTATTATTTCCAAATTTCAAAGCATTTCATACCTTTTCATTTGACACAGTGCCCCTCGTTACTACAGATATGCCACTTGGTTGGTCTTACTACAGACATGGCACTAACTGGTCTTTCTGGTTGCAACCTCCTCAAGAGAGGCTTCCCCTCTTTGGCAGGTAGTAGACCTCTTCCTAGTTATAGAGTAACTAGAACACCTAAGAATACATCCACATCTCACTTGTTTTTATGTTGGCTAGCAGCATTTAGTAACATTAAATGATGGAATTTATTAAAGTGTTATGGACGATGTGATTCCTCTGATTCTAAGGGTGAAGAGGAAAACATAGTAGATTCTCAACCTGAGGTTGATAAGCTGTCAACTACCCTGTTTCTCCAAAAATACGGCCTTCTCCAATAGGAAGTCCCAGCATAGGCATGAAATGAAATTAAGCCCCTCCCCCCAAATTAAGACCTATATTAAAACATGCGAAATGGGGGGGAATGGTGGGGAGGCTTGCCGTTAGGAAGTACTTTTGTTGCACACCTGGATATGGTGCTGCCTGCGTTGACCCCGATACAAAGTGCCCCACCAACGCCAAGGTCAACATCCAAGCCGTCGCCGCCCGCCCACCCAAAGATGCAAGAGGGAGGAATTAAGTCACCCCCAAAAAGACGCCCTAGCCATTTTTTCAGGGCTCAAAAAAAATAAATAAGACCCGGCCTTATTATATGAGAAACACGGTACTTGGGAGAGATCAGTCTCAGTGAGCGTAAATGGCCACTGATAGCTTTAGTAAAAGGTCAGACCTTATCCATAGAAAAAATGCCAAGCCCTAAATAGGTTAAAGTTAAAAAAGAAAGTCTTAAGAAAGAAAATTAAGAAAGCCTGGCTCTTTAATTAAGCAACTACATTGACTCCCGCTACATAAGACTGAGCTCTAGGTCCCCTCCCCAATTAGAAAAAAATACCGTTTCCTGACCTGTGTTCCTGTAATACCTTTCTTCACATTCTTCCTTCCTCCTAGTGAGGTACATTCTCAGTTGCCACAACAATTGTGCTATTAGTTGTCTCAGAAACTGAAATACCATGGAGATGGAGATTTTTCAGGCTCTTCGAAGCTGCTGTAAAGTGATGTTCAGGCACAGCTCCAGAAATCCAGAATGCAGCTAGTTTTGTCCTACACACAGTGGACCTGAGGGGGGGGGGGGGGGTAATAGAATTTATGCTACCAGACTAACAACCAGAATCATCATTTTACATTCTTACTGTTCTGCTAAGGAGGAAGTTTTGCAGCTTGCCACGATGCCCTTCGCAGGACACCTTGATTTATCCAGGCCCACTATCTAGTCTTAAGAAACTTTTAGTGGTCACCCGTCAGACCTGGTGTTTGAAGATTTCTGTTTCTGGTTGGAAACAACTCTCCTCTTTCTTGACCTGTTTTCCTGTGATATCTCTTATTTCCTCCTTTTTCCTCCTTGCACTGTGATTAGACATTCATTTTGATTTTCAACTGGGAACTGAATGTGGAGTTCTTTGGATTTCAGCCTATAAACTGCTTTACACTTGGGGAGGGGAGTGGGGGGGGGCATTCCTGCCTCTAAATTCTTCAAGTTAGCAGTCTGTGACGCTGGTATATTATACAAGGAAGCAATCTCTTTTTGAAATCTTTAAGTTGTTACATACTGTCTAAATGATGAGCCCTTAGCTCTGCCTCACTATGGTATTAATAGAAGATACAAAACATCTAATAAAGCCTTTCAGACTTGTAATTGCCTTCTTTTTCTGTTTCTATCATCCAAGCCTCGGATATGATTTAGTGTTCTTTTTAAAGTAGAGATTAATACCATTTCCTTAAGTATCAAGGATGCAAGACAATAAAAGCGCGAATAATGCTTCCTGAATGGTTATTCAGGTTGTTCTCAACCAGGGCCAGATTCACTTTACAATCAAGTTACTAACTTAAACAACTGCAATGATACACTTAACAACTATAGCAAGAAAGGTCATAAAATGGGGCAAAATTCACTTAACAACCATCTTGCTAGCAATGGAAATTTTGAGCTCAGTTGTGGTCGTAAGCCAAGGTTTACCTGTAATTTGGAATAAGAGCTAGGTCTTCTCAACAGGTTGACACTTTTGAAGTAATGATTTAAGAATTGTTCAAAAATTGAGAATGCTTTCTCCTGCTGCAAAATAGTCCTTTCAAGACTACATTCTGACAGGAGCTTTACTAATCAGGCGAACCATAACTTTCAAATCTTCAGCCCTCCAATTTAGTTAGCAATTTTTGATTCCAACTGTATCCCCCCCCCCCCCATCCTCCTGAAATTTGTATTTTTAAATTGCTGTCTTTCCTGTTCTGTTCATCCCCATATGTTCTCCTGATTGCTCTATCCTGTAATCAAAAAGCTAAAAATAAAAACACAAATCAACAGGATTTAATTTATTTAGATGAGTAATAAAACAAATGATTAATGTTACTTTCTCAGCCATCCTGGTTGTTAAAAACATGCATATTTTCCCTAATATATAGTACATTTTATCTATCCATACTGTTTTGTTTTATAAGATATTCTTTCACTCTATTTCATGCCTTAAACATGTAATGATGCTCATGCATTTAGTGCCAGCGCCCTAAAAGAGCTTCTGATGTAGCTTCAGTTCTGAGTAATTTTATGGCAAGTATGTTCCTTGAACTGAACTTTTCAAAATTGCAAATGGATATTAAAATGAGTACAGTGGCTGTTGAGTCAAACTATTTTTTGTATGAGAGACAGAGGCAAAAAAGTACCATATGTGTGTTGTAAATCAACTCTCCAAACAGCAGAATGTATTCATTGATTCATACATACGTATATTTATTTGTTTTACCCTGCTTTTATTACTTTTATAAATAACTCAAATTGGCGAACATGCCTAATGCTCCTTTCTCCTTCTATTTTCCCTTCAACAATGTTAGAAATTCTGTTTTCTTACTCAGTTGTCCAGATGATGGTAAAAATAGTGATTACTGCAGACTTCTATGTAGACTAATGAATAAGGAATATAAAAGGTTGTGTGTGCCAATTTCTAAACTTGAATAATGATAATTACTCAGAAACTTTAACATATTGAACCATGGGTACATTTAATTAATTAAATTTAACACCAGTGAGTAGAACCAATGTTGGCAACCATCTTCTGAAAATATGTTAACTTCTAATGGTAGAAATTGAATATTATGCCTTTTTTGAATAAGTGTTAAGATCATATTAATATGAACTCAGCAGACAATTGTGTGCATATCAATAAATACATTTGGGGTGCATTTCATTAACTCAGTGGAACTGAGATCTTTATAGACTTTAATTTTTTCTGACAACCAAATGTAACAACATTTAAACATCAGTCCTATGCTCAGAATAGCTCTATTCAATATAATGGATTGTCACTCTGAGTATAGAACTGTGCCACTAACTTCCATTTGGAACATAAAATAGACATAAAGAAAAGAGGCACAGTAATATTACCAGAATAGCAAAAAGTTGAAGTGGTTGAAATGGTATAATTTCTGTTCTCCTCATACATTTTGCTTCTTATTTCAGCTTATTTCAGGTTTCTAATTGTTTTCTATCAAATTTACACTTGTTTTCAGACATTGCAAGTTTCCCCATTCCAAAAACCATCAGTGGATATTCACTGATGCCTTTGATATTAGAAAATATTACAAAAGCCCTATCTAAAAGACGCCGTCCTCCTTGGATTCTGAGTGAGTTTCATGGCTGCAATGTGAATTCTTCAACCTACATGCTGCGAATTGACAAGTGGAAATACATTGCTTATTCAGACAGCCACTCCGTATCTCCTCAGTTGTTTGGTAGGTTTACCATTTGATGAAAATATCATTCTTATTCTCGGATGCGATCTGAACGATCAAAATAAGCTGATTCACTTCCATGTTATGCAGGCTCAGCTACACAGTCCTTGCCCTGTACTAGCACAAGATCTAAAACTGTGAAATAATGCATCTGTGTTATGCCTTGTTCCGTTCAGCAAAAGAACAGAGGAGTGATGCACATCTAGGGTGAAGAATATTGATTAAAATTTAAGGTCCTGTAAAAGAAAGCCTGAAAAAATCTGTATCAATGAAAGTCAACATGCAGTTTTAATTCAGCATACAGTACAATAGAGAACACAGGTCAAAGAATGCAAGAAACACTGCCCACAGTAGGAGACAGAGAAGATAGCTGTGCTTTTTAAGTATCCAATACCCATTGTGGTCTCCTGGAATCTATAAATGTGGGTTTCAATCTCATATTGAACAATCTAAGAATTATTATGGTTCGTTGCACAGCTCAGACTAGATTTGGCGTTTTTGTCTATCTGTCAAGTCCTTTCCAAGAACTTGGGATAGGCAGATGTGGATGTTTAATGGTGTTACAGATATTGTTGCAGGATGTAAGCTGTTCCAAGCAAAGCTGCCTTTTGCAATTGATTAATGGTGATATTTTCAATTCTGATGTTGTTCAAGTGGTACTCCAGACAGTTTGGAATTGCACCCAAGGCACCTATTACTATTGGTACTATCTCTGTTTTCTTTTGCCGTAGTCATTCTAGTTCTGTTTGCAGGTGTTTATGTTTTGTGAATTTCTCCCAATCTTTTTCTGCTGTCCCAAGACATTGCAATGTTCATTGTGCAAATTTTTTTGTCCTTCTTATCAACATTTGGGATATTGTATATCAGGTGCTGATCTGTTTGAATTCTAAAGTCCCATAGCACTTTAGCTTCTTCATTTTCTATTACTTTGTGTATAAAACAAGGTAACTTTATTGTCACATTTTTACTGCAAGCACAGAGGCCCACGTTGAAAATGAAATTCTGTTGCCTGCTCTCAAAAAGCAGTGTATATCTACCCAAACACATACATAGCACACATATACACACACTATATACATACATAAATACAGTATATACTTGCACCATACATAAATACAGTATATACTTGCACCATACATATATATATTAATCAATGTCCATTTTGAATGCGTAGCAGAAAGAGTAAACTTGAGAATTCACAAGCTGGATGCTAAATGGAACAAAACTGCGACTGAATCTAAATGTTCTGCTTTGGATACAATGAAGCAGGGGTGGGATTCAGGTTTTTTAACAACCGGTTCTGTGAGTATGGCTTAGTTGGTAGGTGTGGCTTGGTAGTTATGTGACTGGGTAGGCATGGCCAACTCGACATCACTCATGTCAAGGGCTGCTTCTCCTCACCTGGCCTCTCATGACAGTGGGGAATGCTGCAACAGTCATAAGTGTGAAAAATGGTCATAAGTCACTTTTTTCAGTACCATTGTAACTTTGATTGGTCGCTAAATGAACTGTTGTAAGTCAACTGTTGTAAGTTACCTGTACAAAAATACAAAAAGCTTCTTCGCTTGCAAAAAGCTGCCCTAAATACCAATCATTATATTAAAAATATCTGCAAGCCAGAGTTACAAATCAGGCAGGGTGCCAGAGCACCTTGAGGAATGAAAATAGTTAAAATTCAGTGATAACTATCAAGTAGCCAACTCTTGCTCATAAAGTGAAACCCTTTAGCAGAGAGGTCATTTAAGCTCTCCAGAAGAAGCACACCCAGGAAAAGCAATCCTTAGATCCATTTGTACCACTTAAAGCTGGTCTCACTCACCTCACAAGATATCCTAAGGAAATCATCCAGATTTAAGGAAAGGTCACATGCCCCCCAGAAAGGCAATAAAAAAAATCAGTGCCAAGCTTGCATCCTGCCTCTTAGAAGTATACCCCAAAAGGACAGTGCCAGATAGTACTAAAGCAGTGAGGAAGACCCCCTCCCAGATAGAAAAAGAAACCATGAGGCAGGAAAAAATTCAAACAAAATACAAATAATGAAATCACAACGGTAGCTGTTGCTTGTTGAAGCTGAATAGGGAAAATTATCCCAACAATAAACGCAGGATTAAACTTCACCAAGCACAGAATTAACCTTCACCAAAAACCAGTTTTAGACCAAAACTCAGAAAGGGTATGTAAACTCACGTTTGAATGTCAATTTTTCTAGCAAGCCAAGAAGCCTTGCTGAATGTCACTCATCTTGGTTCCCTGTCACTAAAAGCTTTGCTTCATTATTCAATTATTTCTTCAAAGTGCTGATTGTCCAGGGAAGTATTTCCTCCCAACAGCAGTGTAAAATTCTCCCAACAGCAGTGTAAAAATCTTAAAACAACCCTTCCCCTTTAATAAAGCCAAGCCCCAAAAGCTCCGGAGACAGTAAGTCTAGGCTGTCTGCCAAGAATGTAATAAGGGTGGAAAAAAACAAAAGGAGATTGCTTCTAACTACCAGTTCTCCGAACTGCTTAGAAAGTTAACAAGGGGTTCTATAGAACCGGATAGAACTGGTAGAATCCCATCCCTGCAGTGAAGCCTCCTCCATGAAGGTAACAAGGAAAGCAGGTTGTGAAGAGGATGTGTAGTGTCCCAGACAATCCTGTGGATCCTACTCAAGCATCGTTTACATCAAGGGTGTCAAACACAAGACCAGTGGGCTGCATCCAGCCCATGAGATGGTTAGATTGGGCCCATGGGGCCGTCCTGGAAAATGTAAGGGGCTGGCCTATGTCGCTTCAGCCTGGTCTACCCAATGTGAAGAGGAAATTAGGCCACCATGGCTTCGGCCTGGTCTACCCAATGCAAAGAGGAAACTGAGGTCAACCACAGCCCTGATGCGGCCCTCAGTGAAATTGAGTTTTGATACCCCTGGCTTGTGTACTATGTCCCGGATAGAAGGAAGTTAACTACCAATGATCTTTTCTGCTATCCTCACTACTCTCTGCACCGCCTTCCTGTCCAAAGCAGTATTTCATATTAATTCATGTGCAGCGGGCTCTGGTGTCCAGAGCAGGTCAGCTCCCCTCAAGGTTGAGAAAGGTCTCATGACAGATGTCCTGGGTAAAAGACACAAAGCCACTGCCCCCTCCCCAAAGAATCACTTGGTGTTGCTGTAGGTTGAGAAGGAAGCCCTGTCCTACGCTGCTTCCACTCAGTTCTAGCTATGGAGGTGCCAAATAAACCTTTTTGCTATAATTACACAGGTCACAAAACTGGACCTTTTTGTGGCTATATTGATGGTTATTTAAATTATAATAATAATTATAGCCACGTAAAGCCCTAGGCTTGTGACGTGTACAAGCTTGCTGCCTTAGCTTAACTGTAGTAACAAGGGTTGGCAAAATAACTTAATAGTGTGTGCATTCTTTTTACAGTGTGTGGTAATAAGTAATATGTACATGCAGATATGTGCCCCTTCAAGGGAACATAGGGCGCAGCCCCTAAGCCTTAAGTAACTTGTGATTCCTTAATAAAAAAAAATATTGAACCAGTGTGATGGCCTAGAGGTGGACCTCTCGCCTCACAATTGGGAGGCTGTGAGTTTGATCCTAGGTAGAGGATATTTAATATTTGGAATAGATTCTCCTACTCAAACAGGGGGTTGGACTAGTTGACACTGAAGGTCCCTTCTGTTATTCTATGTCTATTCATTAATGGGAATGGTTCAAAGGTCTTTATATCCCCAACAATTTCCCTTTCTTGGGAGGCAACCCTTCTGCGAAGGGAGGACCAGTTCAATCATTAAAAAAACACCTTCAGTTTTTTTCCACAGCTTTGCAAGTCCTCAGCTTCATTGCCTCCCTTTACAGAATTAATTCACCCTGCTGAGAGAGGATCAAAGTGTTCTTCCTCTTTAATCTTATTTGCCCACCCCATCTTTACTTTCAAAGGGAGGCTGTAAAATGCCAGTGAAGTTTTAATGAGAACTTTCCTTCCTTCCCTCCCACCCTCCACTCTCCTTTCCACTCCCACTCAGAAAACTGTTATGATTATAAAGGCTTACATTTACTGCAGACTGAGTGTAAAGTGGAAGAGGATAGCTTCCCCTCCCCCCCTGCAAATATAACATACCTGTGCAGCAGATACATACAATTTAAAATCCTTTTCAAGTGACTTCTCTCAAACTGATGATAGCGTCAGCATATACCTCATCTCTGTTCAGATAGGAGATGGAGCAACCTATTATTCGATGTCACCAACAAATAAGCATCCTGTTGAATTCCAGAGGCATACTTTTCTTCTGTAGTTGCTGCAGAGTGTGTGCAAGATTCTGATATTCTAATATGATAACATAACTGGTGGAGGAATTGCAAATATGAAGTGTTTATTGCAAGAGTACGGTAATTTCTTGATTTAATTAACATTTAATTTAATTTCATGGTTTAATTAACATTGTTATTGGAGTGATTCAATTTCTTAACTGAATTGGAAGCAGACTACACAATTCCAGTTTTCTAAACTTAAGCTTATGTTTATTGTAATTTATCTTAACCTATTGTTTTTCTTTGTTGTAGATCTTTCAAATGATCCAGATGAACTAACAGATGTAGCCACAAAGTTTCCAGCAATCACACAATCTTTGAACAAGAAGCTATATCATGTAATTAACTATCCGAAAGTCTCTACTGCTGTTGAACAATATAATAAACAGCAATTTATTAGCTGGAAGCAAAGTTTAGGGCAGAACTATTCAGATACAATAGCTAACCTTAGATGGCATTGGAGCTGGAAAAAGAACCCAAAGAAATATCAACACGCCATTGACACATGGATTAATGAATGAATTAGTAAGGTTTCAGATAACATACAAACATTGTATTGAATAATTTATATCTTGCTGCTGTAAAAGAGAACATAAAATCAAAATTGTCCACTGTTCCCAGCTTCCCCATCTCCCTATAAATTCACCCTATCAACCAATTCCTTAACCAGGGTGCATTAGTCAGATTCAAAACTAGTTAAGAAGACAAATTCCTTGTGTGTCCAATCATACTTGGCCAATAAAGAATTCTATTCTGTTCTCTTCTAAAACCTGATAATGGATAACATGATGCTGCTATCGGTTGTGTTGTAATAAAGATAATGACACCACATATGTAGTGTAATTGGGCAAATGGTGATGCCATTATATCAGTGTGTCCCAACATCTAACAACGTATTTAAGTTGTTGCATTTATACAATCACATGGTCATGCATGTTGTAACATTTGCTCTGCTTACTTTCCCAATGATTTGATTGTCCTCAGGGCTTTTTACGTAAAAAAAAAAAAATCAAACTTATCAGCTCTTGCCTCTCTACTCCTACAATATGGCACTTGGATGATAAGAAACATTCCATGTCCTTTTGACTGAGGTTCTTCATCTGGTGGCCTGTAACTAAGCCATACAATGTGAGTCCTTGGTGGTGTCTGAGCTTGGTTGTTTGCTTGCAGATAGTTCATTACATATGCATATGGATATGGATACAGGCAAACAAAACGATGTTTGGTTTGGGTGTTATATAAATCCAGTCTGATGTTTTAGTGTGAATCTATAACATAAAGTATGGTTAGTCTAAGTAGTGATTTAAGAGGATAGCTTAATGTTGGCTCCCCAGGGCATTATTTGCTATAATTGCTGAGACTTGGTAATTTTCAGTCCAATAACATTGATCCAAAGGCTGGTTTAGATAAATAAGCCAACTTCATAGTGCACTTACGAAGTTAAGTATAGTTGAACAAAGCTAATAGGATTCATAGTTTTGATTATGAGACATAATTATAAAAAGTGCCTCTGGGAATGCCAAAGGTAAATAAAGTATGTGTGTAGCACCATCGTTTAATCTGATATATTATTTTTAATTTTAAAAAATTAGCATTGCTCACAAGTAATATGACAAGCTCATTAAAAGGAAAGTCATGGGGTAAGAGGGTAATACAATTGACCTTGTGAACCAATCCTTATACTTTTACTGACCTGCTGAGATGAAAATATGACCGCTTGCTAAGGATAGGGGAAATCCCATAGCAGCTCTGCAGCCTATTGCAGTAGAACAGTTGAGAAAGGCCAAATTAAGTGGATATCAGGACTTATAAGGTCAAATTCTGCAAACAGCAAACATGAGGGCATCATTCTGCAAAGCATATTGTGCCAAAACTAGACTTTTAGACTAAATCACACGCTAAGAACAGCCTTTCAATCATAAATGATTTGGAACAGTTGAAAAGGCCAATTTCTTGTCCTTTGTCCCTTTTTTTCCCTAAGCATTTATCTCTACTTGAGAACAAATGCTCTAAGTGACTCATAAGTAAGTCTTCCAAGATAAAGTACTTTACACTGTGGCAGGTTGCATGAAAACATTTGGCCACCCATTGAGCAATGATAGCTTGTGAAAAACTGCTTCCCAGACATGTTTAGAACAATCAAAATGTTGGCTGAAATTATTAAAGAGCAATTCCTTATATGATTTTTGTCATTTTCAAGAATATATTAATTCCATTATGAACAACCATGCAGGGCCAGAAGCCATTTTAGTGCAGCAGCACTACCCTCATACTAATCAGATGTTCAACAGGATCTCAAAATGGGTCGTGAGAACAAAATATTCTCCAGCAGCATTTTATTCTGAGCTACATTGGAGCTTAGTATGAGGCGTGACCAGAAGCCAGATAGTATTATTGTCCACAACAACTGTTATATTATCAGTACTCAGTTAACTTTGCTTATATATAAAAGGACATTGATTTAGTAATGATCAACTTGTCTCATTGATTTCACTTAGTCCACAATCCAAATATTATGCTGGATCTAAACTAGTATTGTATATTTAACATTTTGGGCATATGGGACATATGAACAAGGTGTACATCAGTCATTACAGTAGGAACACTCAGAAAATAGAAAAGTAAGATTTCACTCATCCAACATATGTACATATTTGGATGTGAACAAAGCTTTCTACTTTCTAGGTAACAAAAGTCTTTCCATAAGGTCTCAGAAGAAAGCATTCTCTGGCTGGATCTTGTTTGTGGTCAAAGGTTAAACAAGGTAGGCCCTGATTAACACTTTGATGGGAGGCCATCAAGAAATCATAAGGCTAGCTTCAGAGTAAAAAAAACTAGAAGAATTGCTATTATCAAGAAAAATACATGGATATATCGATATAGTCAGTATGAATTCCGGGCATTGAAATCTATGCATCTTAAGAGTTTCCAAGGTTGAGAAACACTGTTAGAGTAATGAAGAGATGGACATCTTTCAAAATGAAAAAAAAAAATCCCCTTCCCTTTCTTTTCTCTACTGAATTTGCCTGTCCCACTCTGTCATAATAAACTGCTTGTATTCAGAACTTTTTGTCTCCTTTTAAGCTATAGCCAATGAGAGGTTTCAGTGGCTTTCAATGCTTGTTGCTTTGTTTTTTCTCATCTTGATATTTTGTTTCTGAAAATTTTAGTATTCACACAAATTTTAGTATTTGATTTTTGGGTGGGCTGAACAACAGTATTTCTCCTTTAGACCACAAATTTCATTGGGGTTTTCTTTTTCTCTCTGTAAGATAAATTGTCGACCTTTTGAGACAGTGGTGGACACTTTTGAAATTTGCACTGCATTTTATGCACATTTCACATAACAACTGTTGTACAGGAAATAGCCAACCAAGAAGTATTCATTTATAGCATGCAAATGGTTGGGAATGCTTCCAGCCCTTCTTTCCTTTCTGAATGGTATCTACCCACTCCACAGCTTATTTTTATTCCATTTAATGAGTGGAAGGAAAATGCTTCCAAGCCACACAGAACTGCTGTTGGGTGCAGTGTTTATATTCTGGAAATATTTATGAGCTCCATGTAGCACCCAATGGGATTCTTCGAAAGAAAATAATGGAAAACAGCACTTTGATTTATAGCAAAATAAAGCTACTTTTCTTTTAAAAATTAATTATTTTAACATTAATGAGGAATTGGGAACATGGTAAACCTCAAAGGAGATATCTACAAGTCCACAGATATGTACGATGCCATCTTAGGGATTCCAAGGCTAGTTGGCTGAAGAAATTTGAATTCACATTCTAGCTTACACAGCCATGATATTGGGTCTAATAATTATTTGAACATGAGGAATAAAATCATTGGTCAGTGAGTCCTTTTTCAAAAAGAAAGGAAAGCAAGTAGGAAAGGAAAGCCACTCCCAAAAATTTCATTGTTATGAGAAAAATAATTCCTGATCTTTCTGGCATTCTCTATTTCCCAAAATCTTAGATGTAATAAAATGTGTAATTTTGCCTCTAAATTGAATAAGTTGACATTGATTTCAACATTAAGCTGGATTTTGCCCTGATCAGTACTTGTTATCAATGATTCATTTTAATGTCTGTGGATATTCTCAATAATTCAAGTCATGGTTGTCCCAAAGGTGCTTTCCAAAAGGCAACTGGACTTTTATAATTTTCCCCCCCTTAAAAACGTTCTGCTTCTCATCCAAGGAGCTTCTTCAGTTCTCTGAAAAAGAAGAATTGAAGAAGCTTCTTGGATGAGAAGTGAAACATTTTCAAGGAAAAAAAACACAAGAATGTCCAGTAGCCTTTTGAAAAGCACCTTTGGGATTGATTTCAATCAACCTTAATAACCCTTCTGGGGTACATTTCCAGTACAAACATGTTTCCGTATTTTGGATTTCATTTTATCCATTTTACATATACTGTTCCCCCCCCCCTATTTTTAAAGTACCATTGCAGCCATTCTAATACCATTTGATATAGAGTGGTTAAAACGGAAAAAATAGAGAGGACTGGTTAAGAGCACTGCACAAAAGTTTGTTGTACTGTACCTCTTATGGAAAACTTTGGGGTAGTGGGTTATAAGTACAATATTAACTTGCCATATTATAGTCAGAAGCAAATTATTAAAAAAATAACTAGGATGAACTCCTTTTGATACTGCTTTATAGACATGTAGAGGACTGTAAGTCTAAGCTAAAAAAACATAATTCCAAGAAAATTTGCTTAAATCTTATAGCCTTCCTTCAACCTTTGCTTTCAGAAGTAAAAATACTCTGTTACACTATCTGCAATTGCCAATGTCGGTTGCTTATATACAAGACGTACGTTAATATGGTAGCTAAAGTAATACTACTAATATTTAATTGCAAGGGAGATGAATTTCTATAAACATTGAAAGCCTTCAGTTTCTGCAGTTTATATCTGTTGATTTTTGTCATTGTTTACATCTGCACACATACCAATAATGCAACCTTTACTGGGACTCATAATATATACTAGATAATTAGATCAATATCTAAGTAAAGCCCCTTACAATGAACAGAAAGGATTCTTATTATAATAAACTATGTCTCATTTTATATTGGATATTTATTTGCAATTAATATGTACAATATGACAAAATAATGGAAGGCATTAACAATACAATCTGTTTGCACAGCAACAAAAGTAACCCTCTTGTTTCTTTAGCTCTGTTTGGAAATATGAAAAATAAAACTAGGTATATGCTGTATTCATGGTCTATGCCTAGATTGGCATACATTTGCTTAGTCTGAGCATGGACTGGATTTCCACACAAACCCAGAATACTCTTTGGGGCAGAAACATTCTGGGCTGGGAGATAGCAAGAAAAATGCCAGGCAATTGGAAATAGCTTAAAGAGAGAATGAAATGATGAGGAGAGGGCCAGGGGACTGGCTGACAGAAGTACAGCAGCATAGTGGCAAAGGCTTCAGGGAGATTGGTGGATGGGCTGAGCCACAAATTGTGTAGAGAAAGGGAGACAAGGCCAAGATGCAGCAACATTTCCTCCTTGCCAATAAGATGCTTCCATACCTTTGGACAAAGTCAGATAATCACAAGTCCTACAGTGTTCTGTCTGGCTGCTCTATGACCTACCTAGAATTGTCTGACTAACCTTACAAGTATTTGTTATGCGCATAAAACAAGCAAACAGAGTTTCTGGTATGTGTACATCCATAAATATTACAAAGTACAAGGAAAAATATCTGAATTTAGTGAAAACCACAAATTAAACAGCTCCCTTATGTATAGAGAGAAACTTTCGTTGTATCCAACAAATTTTGGATACAAATTACTGAAAGAGCGAACAGTCCCCTTTGGTTTGAACATTGACAATATAGTAACCAACGGTGAACAAAACCTCAGACAGGCTGAAGACACCCAGTTGAGATATTCTGATATTCCACATCAGCGCTTATGATAAGAGCCGGAGCAGTAAACATAGAATTCATTTACAATGGTAATGTGATTTTTATTTGGACTTAAAATCCTACAACTGGATAGGCAATTGGAAAGAACTACAGAGCTCAAAGTGGGCTCTTGAGCAAGTGCAGAGTGTCTTTTCCTTTGTTTTTTCCAGGGTAAAGCCTTTGAACACATGGCTTGCAGGCAAACAAGCACCCTGGAATCTTTTATTTGACTCTTAAGTGAGTAGAACACATGGTGTCAAAAGCCCAAACAAACTTAAAGCCATCCTAATTGTCCAAAAGGTCCCTTCTCCTTTCTTTAACCTGCTTTCTGTGGACTCTTAAGGGCAAATGCAGCCTTCTTCAAAGTTGGCCCTCGGTCTTAGAATCTGCTCTCGCCAACAGCCCGGCTTTCCTCCTTCTCTAGCTGGACGGCTGTTGCAATGGCAGGCGTCTTAGTTTGGCATGGGCAGAGCCAAAGTTCAGCGCGATCTGCGGCCGCCCGTGGCGACAGTCGCTGCCGGTGGCGAGCTTGCCGTCTGGGTTGTCCATCGGGGCAACGGCAGAGGCTGCGCTGGAGCCGCCGCGCCCAGGGCCGGTAGCTGTGGAACAAGAGGCACACGTAGGGGTTGACGGCGCTGTTGGTGGCTGCCATCATGTTGCTCAGGGTCGTCCGGGCTTCGTAGGTGGCGGCCTCGGGAGAGGCAAAAGCAAAGCCCAACTCCAGAATAAAGCGCGGGAAACCGCAGAGCGCAAAGAGCACGGCGAGCGCCAAAGTCAGCTGCAGCGCCCTGACTCGGGCGCGGGGCAGGCTTCGGGGCGCCGACGGCGAGCGGGAAGCGCACTTGGAGATCGGCAGTAGCCGCAGAAGAAGCGGCGGGCTGGGGCCGGCGAGGCCAGGCAGCTCAAGCCGAGAGGGTCCGGCGCTGCCGCCGAGGCCCTCCTGCGACGGTTCCTCCTCCTCGGCGCCAGAAGCGTCGAGGGTGGCGACGATGCGGCTGCACGTCCTGCCCAAGAGGCAGGCGGGAGCTACGAAGCCCGTGATGGCTTCGTACACGGCGTAAACCTGTCCGTGCCATCGGGGCAGCTGAGGGAAGATGCTGAGGCAGCGGCCTCCGGCTTGCGAAGGCACCAGTCTGTAAACGAAGAGTTGAGGCAGGGCGAGTAACAAGGCCAAGAGCCAGCCCAGCGCGGCCAGGGCGCTCCGGGAGAGCACGAAAGGCGGCAGCGATTCCTGCGGAGGCAGAGGGCCCTTGGCTAAGCGCTGTCGTTCCAACGCGATAAGAACCAGCATGTGCGACGGCGCCAGCAGCCCCGAGCCTTGCAGGAAGCGGAGCAAGCGGCAGGTGGCGTCTCCGGCCGGCCACCCCGCGTCTCCCGGCTCTGCAACGCGCCCGTCCTCTGCTGGAGGCAGCTGGGAGAGCAACGTTAGCCCGCAGCCGTAGAGATCGGCGATGGCCAAGTGCGCCAGGAGGAAATCCATCTTCCGCCGCCTCCTGAACCGACCTCCGCAGCAGCACCCTCCGCAGCGGAGTCGGTACAGCAACAAGCAGTTGCCCACCAACGCCAGCAGCATGATCGCACCCGCCCCGATGGTCTGCGCAGGCTGTCCGGGCAAAGGCCAACGAGACGGCAAAGAAAGATTCAAGTTCCCGGCGGGATGCTGAAGGCTGGACAAGTTGGCTCCCGGAGTTTGGCCGTTTGGCTCGAGCGCATCAGCCATGGCTCCCTCTGGCCGCCAAAACTGGGAACAAACTTTACTCTTAGAAAGCAGCCGCGCGGATTGTATGTGGATGGACGTGCCTCGGCAGTATATATAGGGGCTCTGCCTGTCACCTGGCACTCACCGTGGGTGGGCACTCCACAAGAGATAGAGCCGTCGCGCCTGTGCCCTGCCCCCCCCCCCGCCCCCCCCCCCCCACAGCCTCCCCCCCCCCCACCTCCAGTTGAACGACAACCGCAGTCTTTCACACCCACCTGAACCAGGTTTCTCCGCACACTTTGTGAAGCTGTCTTTCACATCTGAATGAAATCATCCCCTTAACCCTCCCTCCCCCTTTCCTCCACAGACTCCACGATGCTTGTTTGCTTGCTTGGTGGTGTATCTGCCAAAATATGGCCGTGCATCGGAAACCTGTTGAAGATTGCCTTCACTAGAAACAATCACATATGTTTTCATGAGGTTATCAGAGGGGGTAAAGTACCAACTGGTTTTTGTTTTTGTTTTGAAAAAAAAACATAACTGTCTGGGATACAATTTGCTTTTAAAAATTAGCAAGTTAAGTTTTTTTTTTCAATAGCACACACACATTGACAAGGTGCTAAGCATTTGGATGAAAACTGAAATCCTATTGTTAAAATAAGCCCAGCTGAACTGAATGGAATTTACTTCTAAACAGCCATATATAAAAGTAAGCTGCTAATGTAACTTGAGCTTTGTAAAAGTAAATTTTATTGACACATTTCAAGATGTTGGCTAAATTAGCATAAATCCTTGCTCACTGTTGGTTTTAACCTATATGCCCTGGTCTGGCTTGAATGCGGGATGTCTGTCAAGCTCCTTTTAAACTGGCTAAGCAAGAAATTGGTACAAAAAGTTCCAAGGCTGTGAAAGCTTTAATAATGAAGCTGTTGCAAAAGTGTTCAAATGATTGCTATGTATCAAATGCAAATCCAATTTATGGTAAAGTCAAGGTTGAAATTCTTGAATTTATTCTGTTTATATTGCAAGAAGCTTGAAGCCATTCTTGGGTAGTTTCTAACTATCTTACCTTGATAACAAGACTGGCCTGCTTCAGGTTGTGTTTGGAGTGGGCTATCACTATTTCTGGTGATAGTTGAACATGGCAATTTTTATGTATAACGTTAATCAAGTTTACTAGCAATATTGATTCCCAGTTTTGTAAGTCTACCACATCACTATTATCTCCATTGACCATTCGCATATCTGGAAATAGTCCTCACCAGCAATTGCCAGAAAAAGGAAATAAAAAAATGGTTGCTGCTACTTCTTTCCCTTGTTAAAATTTTAGAGGTGGTTGAAAAAGAGCATTAGTAAGGGTGACCGATCTATTGGCCTTTAATTGGGGTACATAGTGGTGCATGATTGTTATGCCAGTCTGGAATCAATAGAACAAAAGCACACAAAGGTAATTTGGTTGTCCTACAAATTACAAAGGTAATTTGGTTGTCTTATCATTTAATAAAAATGATAAGATTAAAGAATTGTATGGCCCTTTTATGTCAGTCAAAGCCATCTATCCATAATTGATAAAGAACCTGTTTCCAAGTTTCATTCAACTCATAATGGCCCTATTGTCTTTGTAGTTTGAAATAAAATTTGTATCCCACTGAGAAGTATGTATCATGCTCTAAGTATGTATTTTAATGGCAAAGAACTGGCAACAGTTTTCTCTAGGCAAACACTATTCAAATCTACCTGAAAAGCTGGAATAAAACCAGAGTATTGTTTTCTAGCTATTCAGAATATGACTGTGATCTGCTGGTCCACATTCTCCAGTGGAATTAGCCTAGATGGTTCCATGTAACCAGAAATCTAATAGAAGGATACTACTTTAGAATGTTGGGAGAGGTTTGCTAGTACTGCTTCTCAGTAACTGTCCAATCCTTGCAAAAGCTGCTCAAAAATTGATGGGAAGCGATTTGGGCCATGATTCTGCCTTGGCTTGGTTATTCTTTATTCTTTAGTTAATTTAATCATAGGCTTTCATTAGTCTCTGCACCTCTCACTTTTCTTCTTGGTTTATTATGTATTATTATGTATTATTTCTTATGTCTCTTTTCTGTAAAGCACCAAAAGGTTTTGGGATAAATAAACAAATAATGACACAGAGAGAAAGAAGGTATGCGATAAAATATTGCAATAGTAATTCATTTATATTTTCATCTCAAATCAAAGATTTCCTATACTTTTAACTTTCATTAAATGAAAGACAAAATAAGCAAAAAAACATTTCAAAATTGACCTCAGGTTTTATTATATTAAGAAACATAACACAAGAATTAAAAAACAGTTTAGAAATTTTAGGAAGTTTTGTTTAAATGAAATATTCCTTGGATTTAGAGCAATTTAGCTAATCTGTTATATGTCTTAGGATGGGGTTAGAGCAAAATAAATATTAATATAGGACAAAACACTGATTAAGCATTCAATTCTTAAAGCACTGGGTTAGATTCAAACTTAAAAATGAAATCAAATAGGACTTGCTACATAATGTAACAAATTAAATAACATATTTAGTAACTATATATTGAATCAATGTATATTTTTTTATTTAGAGGGAGTATAAAATAAAGTGAATAGGCTTGAATGTTTTTTAAAATATAGGGTGAAAGATTGGCTGCTGAATATGGTAAGAACAACATATGATGGAAGAAAAGCATGTTTGAAGATTGGCGTGGGGAAAATAGAAGGTGCATTGGCTATGTTTGCTGCCTTGAGTTATTTGTAAAAATAAAAGGCAAAATACAAATAAAAATTATGAAAATTATGATGACTTTAGAAGACAGTTTGTGAGAGCATGAATATGATTATGATTGGCTAAGAATCCAAATGATTTATTAAATGTATGATGCAAAAACAATGAAGAGGAAAACAAACATTAAAGATCAAAGTAGCTGTGTTTGACAGGATATAAGGGAAACTGCAAGAAATTTAAAGATGTGCAAATGCTGATTGGTGTTATATATTTGTTGCAAAAAATGAAGAAAATTTTTCTGTTAAATCATTTGTTGACTTTGCTATATAGTGTGACAATTAAGTATGTCAACAAAAACAAAATAAATGGAATGGGAATACAGTACTTAAATATGTGTGGTAAAACCAGAAGAAATGGGCCAAGAACAGATGGGTGATTAATGAACGTGACTGAGCGCAATAGTGATTCAGAAGTGGTTAGAGGTGGTTTGACAATACAGAAAGAATTATTGAAGAACAAATTGCAAAACTAGTAGTATACAAAGTGGTTAGGTTGAAAAAAAGAAGGAAAACCAGAAGTTGTAATAAGTTGGAATTGATAAGATCATCAATAAGTGATAAGTTTAAAGAACCAAAACAATTCATGAAGTGAATTTTAAGGACATAAATCTATGGAGGGAAACAATATGCTAAATATGTAGATATAAATTAGCTTGCGCTGCATTTGTTTTTCATTTTTAACCCTTAATTTTGGGGGCTTTACATTTTGCATTGTAACTACATATCCAAAACAGAATAAAGTGATGGGTATGTTGATGAGTAAATCTGACATATTGCTATACTACATTATAAATCTGATATATTGATATACTACAAGCTCTACATGCATTGCTTAACTTGGCTTACTGACAAGAATGCTGAGCTGAAAATGAACCTTCTCTGCATTTTCCATTGGTTTGGAAAGGAAAGCTGTATTTGTATAATCAGCTTTTACTGCTCCCTAAAGAAACATACATTATTTTTTATATTTATAATATATACCTTATCACATAGAACCAGGTCTGCTGCATTATGCTGTTTCTACTTTAATTAAATAACATAATTATAGTATTAAAAATGTGACAAGTTTATATACTAGTCTCAGCCATGACAGAATACATGGTCCAATGTATGCCAACTTTATATATACATAAGATTCAGAATAGGAGGTGAAAGCCAAATGCTGCAATAAACTGCTTCAAAAACGCTAGAAGTTCAAAGACACGACAAACTTTGGCCAAAAAAAGGTCGCAGTATTTTTCCGCGTTTTACAAAACCTGCGTATCCTTCAACCTTTTCGGGATTTGATGAGGCGCCCCCAAATTTTTCTTGTTCTAACTTTTACAAATGGGTGACGCTGCAGCTTCAGGGACTCTTCTTCGTGCCAGGCTTTTCCTAACCATTTCTCCCTCTCGATCTGGCCAACCCCAGACCTCTGTAGCATCTTCCAAAAATCCACCATTTTGCTTCTGTCATAAACCAGGCTAGGCAGAAAAAAAGTATTAGGGGATTTGCAAACAAGAAAGACCTGTGTAAATCTCCTTCAAAGCAACACAAGGCATACAGAAACACTAATCAGCAGGCCAGGTTTTGTCACGTGACGCTTATAGCGCCAGTAACATTCAAGATGTGACGCACCAGCGGGGTGGGGGGGGGGGAAACAACAACTCGGGGACATCGCCTTGTAGGGCAGGACTCGCAGCCAGATTTGAATGGCATTCCTTTCGACGGGCGAAATGGAGCAGGTTGGTCTTCCTTTAAGTAAAAGTCTTTCTTTCTTTCTCTTTCTCTCCCCCCCACTCCCGTTAAGAAGAACACGTGAAAGAGAAGAATGAATGGGAGAAAGAGCTGAACGCAGCGCCTGCAGGGAGTTGTGGTCTTCTGCAAGCGCGAAGGCTGCTGGGCGTTGTGGTTTTGCAACTGCGGATAAGCTCAGGCTGGGTGCGGCAAGAACGTCTGATGGGAGTAAGCAGGATGTGGCGAGGCAGACCGTAATAGGGGGATTTAAAACAAACAAACAAACAAACATCCTGCTATGTTTGGCCCCATCACAGGAGTCTATGTGATATCTCACTGTCGGCCTTCCTTAGAGTGCTATTCTCCAAATCTTGAGATACTTCTGTATTTTGAGTTGAAATCCAACTATACATCTAAGCTCCCCGGGCTGCAAAAATCCTTCCGACCATTAGCTGATGCCAAACTTACCCCGAATAGAAAGCCTTGGTTCCTCTTCGTTTGAATTATCCAGATATTTGCAGCCCGGATTTAATACTCCAGTGCTTGATAGAATCATAATTTCACAGCCTGAAATAAATAACTGTATGTATGTGCTACACAACTGTTATATTTAGAGAATAGAATAGAGGAACTGAAGATTAACATATTAACAGAGTTGGAAGGGACCTTGTAGGTCATCTAGTCCAACCCCCCTGCTGCCGCCCAAGCAGGAGACCCTACACCATTTCAAATGGCAAATGACAGTCCAATCTCATCTTGAAAGTCAAGTGATGAAGCTCCCACAACCTGCAAAGGCAAGCTGTTTCATTGATTGATTGTTCTCACGGTCAAAAAATTTCTCCTTATTTCCAGATTAAATCTCTCCTTGTTCAGTTTCCATCCATTATTTCTTGTCTGGCCTGCAGGTGCTTTAGAAAATAGCTTCACCCCTTCCTCTCTGTGGCAGCCCCTCAAATATTGGAAGACTGCTATCATGTCTCCCCTGGTCCTTCTCTTCACTAGACTAGCCAGGCCCAGTTCCTGTAACCATTCTTCATATGCCTTAGTCTACAGTCCCCTAATCATCCTGGTTTGCTCTTCTCTGCACTTTTTCTAGAGTTTCAATATCTTTTTTATAGTGTGGTGACCAAAACTGGATGTAGTACTCTAGGTGTGGTCTTACTAAGGCTTTATAGAGTTGTATTAATACCTCATTTGATCTTGATTGTATCCCTCTGTTAATGCAATTTAGGATTGCATTGGCTTTTTTGGCTGCCGCTGCACACTGCTGGCTGGTTGTCCACTAAGACTCCAAGATCCCTCTCAGTTACTGTTATTGAGCCTGGTTTCACCCAATCCATATGTGTGCTTTTGGTTTTTCTTGCCTGAGTGTAGGACTTTACTTTTCTCTACCAAATAAATGTTTCTTCTCGCTCCACTTTTAGCTACTGTACATCTGCAATTTAACCCAGTTATAATTTAAACCTAAAATAATGAGCCTTGACAGCCAGTTTGGTATAGAGGTTAGGCATCAGGCTAGAAACTAGGAGATCATGAGTTCTTGTCCTGCCTTAGGCACAAAGGAAGCTGGATAACCTAGCCCTACAGAGCAGGCAATGGCAAATCACTTATTATTATTATTATTATTATTATTATTATTATTATTATTATTATTATTATTATTATTATTATTATTATTA